CAAAAAATCCACTGCTCCCGCTGGAAGATGCTTCATTGGTATGGGATGGCTGTTTATTAAAGTCATTTTTTGTAATAAAAAACTTGTCTTTTTTAGATTGAATATCTATAGTGCTTTTCTTGTTCCTCATGCTTTGTCTACATTCCTATTCGTTATGTTAATTATGAAGTACCTGAAAAAGCGTGCAATGATAGTTCTACTTAATTTCATTTTAAAATTACAACAAAAAATAATTAAGTTCTGCAATACATGCAAGTTATTCTGACTCTTGCTTGAGAATGAAGTTTATATTTGCACGCTTTACTCAGTTACTAATTACACTTTTACAAAAAAAAAATAGCACGAACAAGATAGATTCGAAAACAGAAATAAATAAAATTCAATAAAAAGACAAAATTCAGAATAACATGTGATGCAATCTCAGGAAAATTTATTTCACTTAATATTAGACTGCACCAAAATCACTTTTTTCACATACTTAGGGAGTTCACTGGTTAATAACTCACTTTAACCACAGCCACAAATTGCGACACCCAGTAAAAAGTACATCAACAGGTCAGGTGAAAGTAGTAATTTAAAAAATTTAAAATAAAAAATACACAAATAATTCCGTTGAAAAAATATGTAACATCTAAGATATTCCAATAACTAGAAATTGAAGGAGTTTTAGAAGTCCCATATGGGCTTTAGGGAAAATATATTAGGTAAATACGAATATTAAGATAAAAGAGAAATTTTGTGCCGTTGAGTTAGATTTAAAAAGATTTATGTAGAATAATATTATACCTGCTTTCAAAAAGGCAAATTATGCATTATTAAGTAAATTGTCATACAATAAGGATCTAGCTCTAGTTTCACAACAGTTATTAATACACTTTGTAATTTAAAAAGTAAGATGTTATTTTTAGGTTTTTTATTTGACAATGGAAAATTTATAACTTACTAAAGTAGCTTTTATGTAATAGGCAACTACAAAGAAAATGTGACTTCATAACGTATATTATTATGAATCGTGGATGTGTAAAATTATTTGACGATATCATTTGAATAAATCGACTTGCGGTTATAAGGTGGGCATATTAAGCATATTTTAGAGGTGTAGTTAAGTATCAAAAGCATGGTAAAATGAATAAATATGGCAAATATATACCTTCGGCAGCCACCCCCTGGGTTGGCAACAACTTTTACGCGGAATCTTGATATATTTCGTCGACAGTTCTTGGGAAAGCCGTCCTCCGTCTAGTCAATCAATTGGGTTTTCAATTTGATCTGTTTTACCTTCTGCAACCATTCCGAAAAATAGTATTAACTGGATTTCTCGACCTCGTGATACACGCACTCAACTGACAACAGAACAAACTGCCACAAATGACAACCTAAAAAGAAGGAAATGCAGAGAACCAGTGAGATATATATGATTACTATTGTCAAATTGCTATCAGTATCGCCAACATTATTAATGGTTACTAACTATATTATTTCTATGAAGAAAAGTAGGTATCATTTTATAATTTCCTAACAGAAGAATTTGTTCAGTAGCTGTCCGTAAGATGATAGCACATTATTTGGTATACATAGTATGCTCCATAAGAAATTGTACAACTTACAGAATTAATAATATTAAATCTAAAAAAAGTATGAGTGCTGTCAGCACAGGGCAAAGTAGTATTACGTAAATGAAAGTTAGTATCAGCAATTTCTTATGCTGAAGTATACGATGTGTTGCATACCTATTTACAAACATTTCTTTTAAATTTTAATCATTGATTACTATACATCTATTAAAAAACCATAATGGCTGACATCAGTAACAATGCGACAACAATTGAAAAAGAATGATGGCAGTCAACTGCAACAATTAGAAAAGAATGATGGCCGACGCTACGTCATAGAGGAGCAATAAAAATGGCCGGGAGCAGGGGGAAGAACTAGTTTATACTAAATAACAAATTAATCTACCATAAGTTTCTAATTAAAACATAAAATATCTATTAAAACAAAATATCTGCACCATGTAAGCGTAACAGAACACTTAATAAATATAGCTTAGTAGATTTTATTTGCAAGAAACTAGGTAAATCTACTAAACTATCGACATATGTTAGCAATAAGCCGAAGCTGCCCCATTGCCTATCTAACAAGTTCCTTTGTACAATAACCAATGTTAATGATGTACCACCATTAATTAGTTATTATTCAACAGAACCCTAAACAACACAATAACCATTTAACAAAAATAACACTAATTAATATTGTTAATGTTTTACAAAGAATATTTTTAACTTAAAAAATGCAAATAATGTCGAAAATCAATAAAACGCTACAGTTTTTGCTTACTTGTTAGTAAAATACATACATAATCTTTTTTTTGTTGTTTTACTTGAAGACAATCTTTGAAACAGTAGGAAGAAGATTTGTTTATGGTAGGGCGCCAGTGCTTCTCTAATAAGTAGAAAATAATTAAATGGAAAACAAAAACAGAACTGTATCATTATATCCTCAAAGAAAAAGTTATAAAGTAATAATATTATCAATTATAGCACCCAACCGATTAAAATGGCAAAAATGACGATTATTGCATACATAGTCACTAATAGATGTTGAAACTTACGTTGGAGTATGTTGAATAATTGTTTGCAGCAAATAAAATCCTTCGTGATCATTGGTTTTAGAAGCGACCAATTTTTGAAAAACGCCCAAAAACCCACCCTAAAATCATCAACATGATAGAGAGATTCAAATAAAAGAACACTTAGTTGTAAATGTGAAAATTGGAAAAAAATTAATAAAACATTTGTTGAACGTACCAATTTGTCTTGTGCAATAACTTGTGGTGCTGCTTGGGTAAGATATGCACAAAGTTGTCGTACAAGTGGGCTGATATTCGCGGGTCGCTCCCATAAAACTGGGGCTAACAAGCAGGGCAAAAGTTGCATGTACGGTTCCGAAATCGCACCAGGCGGGGTGAGTTCCATTAATAGAGATAATAATTGGAAAACATACGGAATAAACTCTGAAAATAATAGCATGGGTAATTCATATAAAAATAAAGAATTTAGAAGCACTTAGCGAAATAATAGTATATATGGGTAAATACCTTGAATATCTTGTTGTAAAATTCCTTGAAAAATCGGGAAGAGTACGTCTTCAAAGGAAGAAATCGCTGTTGGATTACTTTTACATACAATTCTAGAAGTACAAAGTAAATATTAATAAAAACGTTAATCATTACTTACAGCTTGGTCCTAATGTCAGCATAGGTCGTAATGTTACCATTGGTCCAGGTGTTCGAGTAAGAGAAAGTATTATTCTAAACGGAGCCGTTATAGAAAGTCATAGTCTTATACGACACAGTATTATAGGCCAAAATTCTAGAATTGGTCGCTGGACACGAGTTGAAGGCACTCCCACCGATCCCGATCCTAATAAACCCTTCGCCAAAATGGAAAATCCTCCTTTATTCAAAGAAGACGGCAGGATGCATCCGTCCATTACTGTTTTAGGTAAACCCTAACTGATCATTTTAATTANGAAAAGACGCACCGAAAAGCAAATAAAATAGCAAAATTTTCAAAATGGCGACGTAGCGTCCCTTTTAATAAAAGATGGCAAGGTGGACAAGAAGGTGGAACATCGCAAGATCTATAAAATTCATAGATTCATAAATAACTGTCAATTTATGCTGCGGATATATAGATAACTATAAAGGAAAAACCTATAGAACGTAGATGAAAAAGCAATTCGCCAAGTATCTATTATCTATGTACATTAAGCTATAGATAACAGATGTATGTATATTATGATGTGGATAAAATCATACATTTATGAAAGAAACAACATTCAAAAACTTAAAACAAAAGTTAGATCTATTTAAATTCGGTGCCTTAGTGGAGCACCTTACGAGAGATGGTGCAGAACTTTTATATATGCGAATAACCATACATTTCCAATATTGTCTTATGTATAATATTGTCGAACTGTACAACAGACACTACTTTTTTTAAATATGATATTTGACGTGGAACAGGTGAAAATTAAAGAATTTGTTATCTTGTAATAATTGTTAACTATGGCTGTTAACGCACTTCAACTTAATTTAGGACATGTTTAAAAACTCCCATTTAGTAAGTGTTTTAAACCACTTTATGACAGTTAGTTAACCGGTAGCTCCAAAGCACAATGTTGAAAGCTGTGATTTTAATCGGTGGTCCTCAAAAAGGTAACAACAGTCAGTACAAAAATGTACAAACTTGTTTAAGAATAATTTTTAGGGACTAGATTTCGTCCACTGTCCTTGGATATTCCAAAACCCTTATTTCCAGTAGCTGGCTTTCCCATTATTCAACATCATATTGAAGCATGCACAGTTTTGAAGGACTTGAAAGAAATTTTATTAATTGGATTTTATCCAACTGCACAAATCGAAAATTTCATTACTGAAATGCAACAGCAGCATAATATTTTTATAAAGTAAGTGCTTCTTTGAAATTACATTACATGCATAAAGAATGTTAAATAAAAATTTCAATAGATATTTGCAAGAATTTGCCCCCCTTGGCACAGCAGGGGGGCTATTTCATTTCCGAGACCAAATCAGGGTAGGGTCACCAGAAGCTTTTTTTGTAATGAATGGAGATGTTTGTGCTGATTTTAAATTGCAGGATATATATGAATTTCATAAAAGTAAAAAGGACAAAGCTCTAGTAAGTTTCTTTCATTCACAAATTATTTTATACAGTATTTAAAAAATTTATGTAGTTAATCTTGAGTGCACTTGAAATAGTTTTAAAGTAGTTGCATAGTTTTAGGTTGACTAGCTGTAGAAGCTTTATCAGGTATTGAACTTTAATATCAAAGAAAACACCTGTATTTCTTTATGTTTTGCCGCAAAACACTTAATATAACATGTTAAAAAGAAATGACCTATTTTAAGCTGTTTAAAGATATAGCAAATTAAAAATATACACAATTACAGTAATATTGTATTTACAATCTTTATAATCTAATGAAAATGCAGTAACAAGAACTTAACATTTTATACATGCCTGTAAATAGTATCTATTTTATTGGTTGCTATAATTCCTTTATAAATGAACAATAATGAAAGACATTGCTCCCTAAATAACGTTAAAAATTTTTTATTAAAGGTTACTATAATGTCAACAGAAGCTACCAGGCAGCAATCTTTAGAGTATGGGTGCATGGTAATTGATAAGGACACTCAGGAAGTGAAACATTATGTGGAGAAACCCAGCTCTTATGTTTCAACTTTAATAAATTGTGGAGTCTATCTGTTTTCCCCAGATATTTTTCAAAAGATAGGCGAAGTATTTAATTCAAAACAACAAGATCTAAATAGGTACAGTTTGTTGAGTATTTACATTTTATTCAATTACACCAAACTCCTCTATATCTCTTAAAAGTGATTTTTGCTGTTACATTTCCAAAATTAGTTAATTGTTTGTGGCCTTTTTAGACTGCCACTTAATTCTACTTTCAATTTTTTTATTTTTAAGAANGAAATGGTCATCCGGAAATGTGCTTTCATCTATTTGTCCCTCGAAGAAATTTATTAGCGACTAAAATAATTCATGTCGGTTGTTAATAACAATTAATCAGTCGCATAAAAGCTAAATAGCATGATCTACCTGAAGAAGAGGTGCCCAATATTTCTTATAAGTTCCCGAATATACTTCCGGACAGTCGCAGAGCAACTTGGTGACTCCACAAGCAACTATTTTACGTTCGATTCCACCCGAAACCTTTTGCAGATCGGTTAAGAAAAGTTTTTCCAATACCATACCAAACATTCTAAAAAGTAAAAGAAAATTGAATATTATATAATGAGTAAAAATTAAATACGATACTGTTTATAATATGTACTTATATTTTTTAAAGGAAAAGTAAAAATACGATCACTATAATATGTAAAGAGTGCATTGAAAGTATTTCTTTTATGTTTTATTAAAATATTTTGTTTATAGAAATGGCAATGGGTGTAAAGAAACTGGGTACATCCAGTTAGAGCAAGATATTCTTGCACCTCTGGCTGGTACAGGAAGAGTATTTGCTGTACAGGTACTTTATAATGATTATTTATGAAGTGTTAATGAACTTTCGGTGGCTAATGAAATTGTATTTTAGACCCATAATTGGTGGGCACAACTTAAGACAGCCGGTTCTGCGATCTATGCAAACAGACATTACTTGGAGCTGTATAAAACTCAGCATTCAGATAGACTTGCTGAAACTAATAGTGGTGAAAATAAAAGTAAATGCGTAATCATTCCAGATGTCTACGTGCATCCTTCAGCTAATATTCATTCTACTTCTGTGGTACATGGTTTGATCAAATAATTTTAAAAATTTGGCTTTCTGTTTTGCAAATCCCTAATATTTTGTTAATTTTAACTGCCAATCAGTTTTCTTGAGTAATTCCCGTGTAGAACAAAAATTAAAGTACAATTACATAAAAAAAGAGACCATTTTTTAATAGATAATAGCTCCTTATTCGTCTAATCCTAACAAAAACATATTTCAGCGTCTGAATAGTACATCCATTCGCACTATATGAAATATATTGAAAATAAAGAAATACAAAAAGCTGACAAAAATTCTAAAGAGGTTCATGCTTGATCAGTTGGAATGATTCTAAATGTTATGAACTATTAAAATAAGTATAAGGAAGATAAAAAATTAATAAAACAATCATTTTCAGATAACTTAATTACACTTTATCGTGGGGCTTTATTCTATACACTTATCATCCCTAGTCTTTAGTAGTAAATATTAATAAAAAAAAATTCCTCGAACACGTATCTTTTTTTTTTCAATATAAAACCCGTAAAGAAAATTTCAGCGAAACCGAAAATATATCGGTCAGATCAGTGTTCGGTTTGTAAAAGAATGTCCCATATGTGTTAAATGTACCTACTATATGTATAATTTTTTCAACCCCCAAAGAAAAAGACGACTATTGCTCCATCAGTCCATTTTTATAAAAACCTTGCAATTTTGTAGCTTTTAAAGAAATTCGTGAAACACAAAAATACAGGCAAATTCTACTCAAAATTATTCCACAAATGACCTAATTTTCTCCATTTCAAATGCCAAGATAAACAATTGACAAATAAAATCATTACATCATTATGTATATTAAAATCAATTGCCAAATGTATGACGTAGCATCACTTGAGAAAGGCTCAATTGTCAGGACAAGATTTGTATGAAAAATTTTTTTGGAGAATAAACGGGTAAAGTAACGGTAAAGTATGTATGTATACATATAAGTAGAAAAGTCCTGACTCACTGCCTCGTATCAATGTCCAAACAAAACCTTTCGAATTATATGCATAGCTGAAGTTTGCAAAAGATTTTTCTTTATGATGTATAAAAGAAATAAGGAAGGATATTTCGAAATTCAATACCTAAGAAGGTGAAAAGGGGNGTAAACCCTAACTGATCATTTTAATTAATAAACACGCAAAATTTTCTGCTGAGGTACTACAGCGTTAGCCCTATGACATTAATATTTTTAAAAGTAAATTTAAGATTCAATTTAAAAATATATTTAATTTTAATTTTACCTAAACTATTTTCCGTTTTATAGGTGGAGATGTTAATGTTCGTTCTGAAACAATTTTACTTAACTCAATCGTACTGCCGCACAAGGAACTCACACGCAGTTTCAAGAATGAAATTATACTGTAATTAGTACGAAAAATATTTTTTTAATCAGCATAATTGTCTATGAAACAATAAAAGGTATTCAAAAAGCAATGAATTATTTTACAATTCTTTAGGCAAAACTTTTTCACAATAAAAAGAACACTTCATTACAATGACAAACAAAATACAAAACATATCTTTTAACATCTTGTTCTTTTTATAAAAAAAAATACAACAATATTTGGGATGATGAATGTTACCTGTTATCAGTTTAACAAATCGAAGTGGTACAAAAACGTTTTCGTTTCTAGATTTACATAAACTTTTTACATGAGGCGACGTAGTACACTTTATAATAGACTTTAAACTAACTGGAAGCCAAATTTGGCTAAATATCCTTGCAAATGCGTAAGACTGGTATGATCGATAGTGTTTACCATAGGAGGTAATAGTCCCGGCTGAGAATTACCCAAAGTTGCCAGGCTTTGTGACAAGAACTGTCTAGGCTCTGATATGCCTAAAATGAAATTATAAGTACTGAATACCTTCTAATAGGTTTTCTCATTGGTTCACAAAAGTACATATTAGCTAAAATATTGTTATTTATCTATATACTTGCAATACAAACGTATATTACTGTAAAACTAATAAAGAGTTACCTTGTAGAGGATCCACTTTGCTACTGTTGGCAAAACTAAGCTTAGCACTGGTGGTCTGCCACGTTGGAGTATCATCAACTTCGATGAAATGGTCATCCGGAAATGTGCTTTCATCTATTTGTCCCTCGAAGAAATTTATTAGCGACTAAAATAATTCATGTCGGTTGTTAATAACAATTAATCAGTCGCATAAAAGCTAAATAGCATGATCTACCTGAAGAAGAGGTGCCCAATATTTCTTATAAGTTCCCGAATATACTTCCGGACAGTCGCAGAGCAACTTGGTGACTCCACAAGCAACTATTTTACGTTCGATTCCACCCGAAACCTTTTGCAGATCGGTTAAGAAAAGTTTTTCCAATACCATACCAAACATTCTAAAAAGTAAAAGAAAATTGAATATTATATAATGAGTAAAAATTAAATACGATACTGTTTATAATATGTACTTATATTTTTTAAAGGAAAAGTAAAAATACGATCACTATAGCACTATATCTGACTGATAAAAGGCACTTTAAATATAAAAACAATGATTTGGGGTCGTCCATAAAATACGTCACTCAGAATTTCACCCTTCGTCACATCAACCACCCCCCTAACAAATATTACGTTATAGAAGCTGTTCCACCAAGTTAAGAAAAACAGTAAAATAAAATTGAAGAACTGCGAACGTTACATTTCCTTAGACTTCTCCGTCCCCCTTGTCATATCTCGTCACGCTAAGCGATACCCCTCTCTTCCCCGTATTTGCGAACGTATTCTATGAACGACTCCTTTAAGAAAACTATATGTAATAAGGTATTAACTTACTGAGCTTGAATCCCATCAACTGTTTGAACAAGTTCGCTTGCTGAGAATTTCACAGCGTACAAACAGAAGAAAACTATTAATCCAACTACATATTTTGTTGTTTTACTTGAAGACAATCTTTGAAACAGTAGGAAGAAGATTTGTTTATGGTAGGGCGCCAGTGCTTCTCTAATAAGTAGAAAATAATTAAATGGAAAACAAAAACAGAACTGTATCATTATATCCTCAAAGAAAAAGTTATAAAGTAATAATATTATCAATTATAGCACCCAACCGATTAAAATGGCAAAAATGACGATTATTGCATACATAGTCACTAATAGATGTTGAAACTTACGTTGGAGTATGTTGAATAATTGTTTGCAGCAAATAAAATCCTTCGTGATCATTGGTTTTAGAAGCGACCAATTTTTGAAAAACGCCCAAAAACCCACCCTAAAATCATCAACATGATAGAGAGATTCAAATAAAAGAACACTTAGTTGTAAATGTGAAAATTGGAAAAAAATTAATAAAACATTTGTTGAACGTACCAATTTGTCTTGTGCAATAACTTGTGGTGCTGCTTGGGTAAGATATGCACAAAGTTGTCGTACAAGTGGGCTGATATTCGCGGGTCGCTCCCATAAAACTGGGGCTAACAAGCAGGGCAAAAGTTGCATGTACGGTTCCGAAATCGCACCAGGCGGGGTGAGTTCCATTAATAGAGATAATAATTGGAAAACATACGGAATAAACTCTGAAAATAATAGCATGGGTAATTCATATAAAAATAAAGAATTTAGAAGCACTTAGCGAAATAATAGTATATATGGGTAAATACCTTGAATATCTTGTTGTAAAATTCCTTGAAAAATCGGGAAGAGTACGTCTTCAAAGGAAGAAATCGCTGTTGGATTACTTTTACATACAATTCTAGAAGTACAAGAGAAATGAAAGGGTGTTAAATTACAATTAATCTTTCAGCTACATAAAACAAATGATTTTCACTAAAGTTATAGGTAGAAATTGATGAACAAAAATAAAATTAAAAACTTGCCTAATTGATAAAGAAAATGTTTCAAATAGGAAATGATTAAAATGAGGTTTAGATGGATTTTTCGCAACCAACTGCAATTTCTCTGTTAGTTTAGGTAAAATAGCCCCTAAGAACGGAATAACTCTTTCTTGTAAAGTCGAAAAACTTCTCATTAGAGCTGAAAATAGAAATTAACAAAATAAATTATTATGTAATATTAATATAAATATATTATGTTAGTTTAAAATGCATTATTGTTTTAAATTCACCTTTCATAACGTATTCATTTTCTTCTGAAACAGGCTTTTCTAATGTCGCTAGAAGCTTGGATAACAGATCTCCTGCATACTGATTCAAATAATCACCGCTTATTCTGTAAAAAAGTTAAATCTAACTTATACAACAAACAAAACATCGAAAGAAACGTATCATTATGGCAGTTATTTTTTTTTTATAAATGACAAAGATTTATGTTTAACAATGCAATCTCTGGAAAATATATACCTAATTACTTACAAGGGCATCTGAGTGGCATCCTTCATAACCAGCAACTTCTCTATGGTACAGGCAGCATAAGTGTGAACAACACAGCTTTCGGCTGTGATGTGTCTTATTAATTGTGGAATTGTAGAAATCAAGAGATCGCTGGCAAGCACAGACCTGAACATCATAATGTACTTTATGGCGTCAGCCTTTAAGACCGGAAGTTCATCAACTGTAAATAAAATCTTGTAGAGAATGACACGAATATTATAGTTTAAGTCTTATTAGTAAATCAAAATAGACATTACAATATAGCTGTAAAGATAACTTACGGTTGGGTCTGTTGAGTTCTGGTATAATGTGTTCTTGACAAAACTGTGGAACGGAAACTAAAAGACTGGTTTTGGTTACACCGTGTTTTTGAGTGGCACCCCTACTAACAAGGGAAGTTACCAGATACATCGCTGAATCTTTACTTTTCCAATGTTGAAGGGGATTTTCCGCATATTTACTTAGCATTACCTTTGAATAGGAATAAAAGTAAAAATAAAGTGAAAAATAAAACACTTTTACGAAATAAAAAAATTGAATATTACCTGTATGTAATTTCCAAAAATACCCATAATCTTTTCTTCGAAGTTTTGACTAAGTGTACTGACGAGATCGCAAGCTGCTCTCCTACGTGTGTCTGAATCAGAACCTTCTATATCTCTTCTTATATATTCTTCAGGATTATCTTCAAACAATTCTTCATCAGATTCTGAAATTAGAACAAATAAAAATAAAATACAAGATTTGCAGTTAAATTTTACTCCATACGTCTGAATTCCATGTTTGGAATAATAACTTTTTCACAAATGCTGTTCAAAACGTTGCCATCTTCAAATAGGTTGCGATAATGAGCTCTTTCTGCAACGGTTGTTAAAAATTGAAGAGCATTTGAAACAAGCTGAAATATGATCTGTATAATAATCAAGGATTTATTAGATTATTACTTATTTACCAAATCATATTTTGGTTGCAATCCAGTAGATATTAGCAAGTTCCATACATCAGTTACAAACTGTGGCAGATAAGGTTGAAATTCTTCATCGTATTTTTGTGCATACAAAGCCAAGTTATCACACACTTGTGACTTCAGCTGCTCTAAGACACCTGTCTCATCATCCTTTAAAAAACATAGATAAATTAGGTTCCTTTGGTTTACAATGACAAAAATTAATAACCTAAGGGTACTCATAAATGATAGGAAATAAGCAACTTCAACATGTAGTAAGTGTTTTTGATTAAGATTTTTGAACAATCCTACTATAAAACAGTAGTTGAACCACTTTAAACTTATATGCCAGTTGTCTAGCTTTCAAGTGTTCAAGTACAGTCAAATGTCAGTCAATACAAGTTCTTAAAAAATATGGTAAAAAAAATAAACTTACTCCAGTTTCTAAAGCTTTCACTTGCACAGTAAGCAAAGTATGAAAATTGGTCATCCATACTGACATATTGTCTTCAAAAAATTCTGGCAAATCTTGGAAATTCAATGAATAAAATACTTTGCAGACAAGTACTAGAGAATTATAAATAACTTTTAAAGCATTAACATCTCCTGCATGTTGCTGTGTCAAGTTCATTAATGCCTGAAAGAAAGCATCTATCAATAGCACATTGAAGCACTACCTCTTTTAGGTTGATGAAAATTCTAAAATAATTTACCACAAGTAAATCTGTTAATGGTTGCGCCAGTCTTTCTAGGACAAACTTTATTTCTGTCCATAACTTATTTGACTTAAACTCATATCGATATTTCTTGAATAATGAGTGGGCTGTTCTTAATATACCATTTATAACATTAAAATCACCTGAAATACATTTTGAAAAGTATGTTATATTAAAGGAAACCAATAATAAACATTATTACCTGTCCCAAACTTGTCAACCATTTGTGTAATAAGTTCTGGCCATTTTGTTGGAAAGTCTGTTTTACCAATGATACTTATTGCATCACTAAGTTGTTTTTGAATTGCTTCAGGAGAAGTTAGCATTAAAGTAATGATCAAGTTCTTAATAGCAGTACGGTCTGTTTCATGAATTCTATCTGGCTGCTCATCTTCCTTTAAAAATAAATAAATATAACGTTAGAAAATGACAAGTTAATTTAATTTATTCTGATTTCTTACCACATTCCAGTTCCTCTTAATATAATTTTTAAATGCAATTGCTCCAGCAATTCGAATGGTCATATCTACTCCATCTTTATGAACCAAATTTAACAATAATACTGGGTAGTTCTGGTTAACTTCAACTCCTTCCAAGAACTTCTCGGCTAAAACACGAAACAAAGTAATGTAGAACCCCAAAAATCTACGTCATAAACAGCTAACCACGCTGAGATTTTCTTAAAAATTCGAAATATTACTTATGAGACTTTTTACTTTTATTAGAAACATAGGTATTTGTTTATCAATAAAAAATCATTTGCAAAACATTAACAATGTACAATAAACACAAATTACCCGGCTTTCTAACATTTATATCAGGATTAAGAGTTTGTTGTAGATATTGGGCCAAAGTATTTAGATTTTCATCAGATATTTCCATTGTAGAAAACTTATTACTTAATGTGTAATGAATATAACAACGGTTTAGCAATAAAATTAACACAATTCTCTGCAAAAACTAGACACATGAGCAAACTTTTCAAATAAAACTAATGGTAAATGTCAAACTTTTGTCACCTTGGATTTGGAAGTGGTACTGGTTTTGTGTGGTTATACATACGCTAAACGGTTTTTAGACCACCAATTTTACATCAAATGTACATAAAATGGAGATTAGAAACAGTAATAATGGGAACAAATACTTTGGCAATTTAGTGCTTTCAGAATAACTAATATAAACTTGAAATAATTAGATTTTATTCATTTATTAAAATAATTAGTTAATAAATTTGAGCAATGGAAATGTTAGACGCAATATTTGCACGTTAAAAATTTAATAATTTTGAAAACACTGTAACAGTGTAATCAGTTCTTGGTACCATTACCATTCTACTCGTGTAAAAGCATAGGAAATCTATAATTTCTATTGTTATAATTAAATACACTTTTTGTGTTTTTAAATGGAAAATGAAAAAATTGATATAAAAAGAGTTGCTTATAATAAATATTTATTTTCTCTAATCTACCATAAGTTTCTAATTAAAACATAAAATATCTATTAAAACAAAATATCTGCACCATGTAAGCGTAACAGAACACTTAATAAATATAGCTTAGTAGATTTTATTTGCAAGAAACTAGGTAAATCTACTAAACTATCGACATATGTTAGCAATAAGCCGAAGCTGCCCCATTGCCTATCTAACAAGTTCCTTTGTACAATAACCAATGTTAATGATGTACCACCATTAATTAGTTATTATTCAACAGAACCCTAAACAACACAATAACCATTTAACAAAAATAACACTAATTAATATTGTTAATGTTTTACAAAGAATATTTTTAACTTAAAAAATGCAAATAATGTCGAAAATCAATAAAACGCTACAGTTTTTGCTTACTTGTTAGTAAAATACATACATAATCTTTTTTTTGTTGTTTTACTACCTTCTATTTATTGGAATAAACTGATATCTACAAGTTCAAGAACGTGTTCCTGAATTATAGAATTACTGTTGCATTTTGAAATGGAAACTGTAATTGGCAATTTCGGGAAAATCCACGAGTTATCGTCATTCTGCAAACTGGCCCTTATATTGGCTGGAGTTTGACCGAAAATAAAATGATCTTCTCTAAGTGGTAAGATACCTTTTAAGAGATCCCTGAAAATAATATATTATTTTTAGTTTTTTTGATTTATCATTATATATGTATACAAGCTAGCTAAATCAAACTTAAGTACAAGTGGTATCTGGGAATTTTATCGTGGAAGTGAAATAAGATGAAAGGCAACTACACATCGACGTACTAAATTTTTGTTTTTGAATAATTTGCAATTTATACATTAAAACAGAATTTTTAATAATCAGGAAATAGTCCTTATGTATTTGTTATTATAGGTAATAGTAATTTACCGAAACGAGTTTTTATAGCTTTTTAAATGTAATTTGGATAATTTTTCAAATATAGTTCAAGTCTTTTAAAGATATATATGTAGTTTACCTATATTATTATTTTCTCATAAGCATATTAATACACAAAATTTACTTTTTTTTTATTTCGCCCACTTCCAATGAGGGCATTATCAATGTGAGACTGCAAACATGTGCACAGTGGCCACGTTTTTTGATAATTACGCTGAGTTTGTTTGTTGTTTATTTATTTATTACTTTACCACAGGCTCTATTTTCTACTCTGAATATTAATGTAACGTTTACATTTTACTTATTTGAAACAAATTGTAACATCGCACAATTTTATTGTTTAGTGGTATCCTTAACAATGTCTACGCCTTTGTATAAACGAATTCATTGCTTGTTATCAATTAATTATCCAACTATTACTAAACATAGTAAATAAATTATGGATATTTTGCGCCAATTTTTTTTTAAGTACACGTTTCAAGGACAAGCGAGGATCGTGTGACATTTTTATCATCAGTTAGCTAACATGCTTCTCTGACCTTCTCATAATCAAGTTTCTCTATAGAAGAGAATATAAACTAAAGCGATCAAGAATGATGCGATGTGTATATTTTGTGTATAATTAAAAATGCATTAATTAACTGTTACAAATCATACAGTACAGAAAATCAAAATCATTTTCAATAAATAAATAATTTTCATATAGTTTGTAAAAATTTGTGGACAAAATAAAATAATTTTAAAGAAATAGGGACCTCCTTATATACGACTTCAGTATTTTATATTTAAAAAATTAATATTTACCAAGTATTTTCATCGGCAATGATATGAACCTTTGGAACTGGAAATCCATTAAACGGACTAGCCACAGGTAATGTATATGCCCCCATGTCTTCAAATATTAACCATTCGCCAACTTTTAATTCGGGAAGCATGCATTCTTCTATTACCTGATCTAATCCATCGCAAGTGGGGCCCCAAATGCTACTCGAATGTAATTCTAGACCGTCGCAATTCTATAAGCCGTAAATTAGAGAATAATGTTAAAAACATGATAGATACTCGATAGTGCATCTCATAATGGAAACTCTGGACGAAATAATTAAACAAAAAATAAAGTTAATTCATTCACAACTAATATCAAGTAAGCGAGAATGATAAGTAGTTTAAGGATATATTCGTTGATTTATTGATGTTTATTGCATATTAAATCGTTAGTTTTTTGCTGTTTTCAATATCGGGAATTTATTGTAATCCGTTTATCAAAAAGAAAACGTAATTTTTCTTTAACAGAATCTTACCTTAAATGGCTGAGGAATGACTACTTGATGATCGTAGAGAATACAATTAAAACTACCATAGACGCCATCGTTGATATAATACATGTAATGTGACGTTATTTCTTTTGTGATGGGATCTTCTGTTTTGATGGTACGAATGGAATGAATGTTACAAGCCAGTGTATAGGCGGATGTTACATAATACCGTCCAGGTTCTGCAATCACTCTCACATGAGGATCCGGAAAATATTTATCCAAAGAGTCGTTTATAATCTTTGCAATCTGAATAACAAAAAATTGGAAAAGGTAGTAGAATTAACTTATTATATTCAATTAACATTGTTTGAAGACAAATAATAAAATGGATAAAAATTATGTAAATGATTACCGGCTCTAAAGTATCCTCGCGTCTTCCAGGATAACCACCTCCTATGTCTAGTAGATTGAAATTATAACCCAAGGTGGCCGCGTAGTCAAAGACTGTTCGAGAAGAAGCGATAGCTCGTCGAAAAGCATCGGGTTCTCCACAACCAGAACCCACGTGGAAACTAACACCTACAACATCGAGACCCAAATCTCTGGCAACAGATAACAGATACGGAGCTTCTGTTGTAGCGTCACAGCCAAACTTCATTCCCAGTTGACACTGTGCTACTTTTGCGTCACATCTAATACGAACTACTAATCTGTAAAAATACCCATTTTGTTGTTACAAAAAAAAAAAACAAGTACATTTTTAAAATAAGACAATTTGATACAATGTTTACGACCATTTAAATTTAAAAAATACAAGCGGTTTTCACGGATGTGCAGTAAATTTTCATATTGATTGCTTTAATAATTACTGCATATATAAAATGTACTTTTAAATAATTTGCCAAAATTCAATATGCATACTCTTCCAAATTTTTAATAGCATTTTGTTGAAATGTTTGGAAATTTTTTCCTACTCACTTGGCTTCTGGAAAGAAATTTTTGATTTTGTGTAGCTCGGTTTCATTATCGAAGGTCATGGTATTTACGCCAGTCAGAGCAGCATGACGTATATGGCTAGCAGGTTTTGCGGGGTTGGCAAAAATTATGCGGTCAGAATCTACCCCTAAGGAAAGCACTTTATTAATTTCGGCTTTTGAAGCACAATCAAAGCCAGTTCCTAAAGCTGCAAGGACTTCTAGGATTGCCCTATTATCGTTACATTTTACAGCTGCAATAAAACATTATAAGTGAATTATTTAATAAACGAAGATAGAGGTTTTAAGACTTTAAAGCCAATAAAATCTCTAATATTTACCGTAATGCGGTACAACTCGTGGCATTAATATTTTCCAAATTTTATGTTTCCTAACAACTTCTCCAATATCGCAGATATAAAACGCATCCTCCTGTGTTTCGGAATCGACAACCGTACGTAGGACATTCCACACGTCTGTTCGGTTATTGATTACACGAACACGACTGTTGGTGGTCAAATTGATTATCTTCATGATTAATTTGTGATAAATTTGTTAAATAGAACTGAATTGTGTTGTAATAAGCAAAGAGGCAGCCTTTGCTCAGCGTAGTGCAGTGCTGTGTTGTTTTTAAGTACGGAGAGGGTTACCCTAGGCTAGCACTAGCAATGCCAAGGGGGCTCCCCGTTCAGGAATAATTTGTAGTTTGCTGGAAAACAGGCGACTTTTGTGGCAGGAGTTACTCTTGTCACAGCACAACCCTGTAAATAAGATGTTTTTATTAAACAAAATTAATAAAATACGCCATATAAGGTTTTTTATGAAACAATAAAAATAACTACCTAATATTTTAAAAATTGCTGACTCGTGAGTACATCCTGCTTTAATTAAAAAAGTAATAACTGACATAACGCAGTAAATTAAATAAATTTCATACTTATTTATTTCTTTAGCTTGATACCAAAATAGTCAATTCCTACTTAAACATTGCATAATCGCCTTGTAATATGTAATAAAACGTTTTCATGTGCTTTCAACAATGTCATTTACGTTTCAAAATTCCATGGGTTTTTCTAATGATACGAGTATAATACGAATATATCCAAAAGAAGTATAATACCTACATGAAAATAAAGTACGATCTACTTATCTATTAAATTACACAAGGTCAAAATTATGTCAATATATAGATGGATAAATAATCTAGGAATTAGATGAAATTTTAGACTTTTTCTTCAGTAAAATATAGTATATATTCTTTATAACTGAATAATTTCCCTATATTCTTATGTTTCTTATGTTAAGGATGTTTTTTCTAAAACTTTAAAACTGTAAAAAATCGTGTGGAAGAAAATATTATTTCAACATTGAAAATGTGAAAAAGTAAATTTATTAAATTGGTATTTTATGTGTATTATTATCGCTATTTTTTTTTATGTTATGATATCATAATAAGCGTGATTTTTGAACAAATAGAGGAATTTTTGTTTTCTATATAGATAAATATAACAATTTAGATAGACAACATTGAACAATACATACACTCTAAAAATTAATAAATACACAAAATATAAGACAACAAAACATAACTGCCATAGCAACAAGATCCTTTCATTTATCAATTTTGTTTATTTTTAGTAGAATATCTCTGATATTATTACGAAGTATACTGTAGTTTTTATGAAGAAAATATAAACAAATTTAAAATGAAATTATTATCTAATTTAATAATAAGAAAAGACTATAAAGAAGTAAATGCATAGTAAATATGAATAATTAAGGGAAAAAAATAAGTTTCATAAATCGGAAATTGGATTTACCTACCTGATATTGTGCTACAGAGTATCCCTTTTTAAATATACATAAAGACATGAAAAAGCGTAAACGAATTACAAAGAAACGTCATAAATTTTGAAACTATTATATTTCTGAAAGAAAGACCCGAAGTAAAAGAAGATCAAAGTCAAGACGTCGATCAATTTATTGAAGTACCCCTACCAGTATTTATCATTTCCAAAGTTCTCTTGACTGTAGATAACAGTTCATGTGCTTCGAATATGACGAAAAGAAATTAGTATGAATTATAACAATAATCTAATTCATTAAGCTATTATTTACAAAAGATCCAAACAAGGTTAAATACCTACTAAGTATTTCCAAGGAATTACTGGAAGTTTAATTTACGAATAATCATTCCCTCTATTTACTAATACATATTTTTATTAAAAACTGATATTTTCAAACCACTTTATCTAAATTTTGTTCCCTTGTTAGAAATCTTTTGTTAAACAAAAAAGCATATGAATTTGTAAATGCGGAGTTGATCAACTAGTATTACAATCAGCAGATATAAGTATACTTTCTATACAATCATTGTAATTTTATTAGTAATAGAGAGTTTACTCCCGTTTCTTAAATAAATAAATTAAATGTAAAGTGCCTTTTGATTCTTTACAATCTCCTATTGCGTAAATATGTTCTTCAAGTTTAGTTCTAATGGATCTTCCTGAATGGCTTATATACGTTAATACGTTAAATACATCACACTCATTACAAAAATTAGGAAAGTGTGGAGATGCGTGACAACCAGCCTCTGGATTGACAACTTTATGGTGATTTAAATTGTAAATAATAACACAAAACTGAACCTTTTAGAAAAATAATGTTAATAACGTACAATTAGTTAATAACATAATCCAGTTAAATACTAATCATTCACCCTATTTTTATTAGAAGTCCCCAACTTGGAAACAAAATGAGTATAAATAGCAAAAAGCAACTCTATCGAACCTTGTGATAATAGCTTAACATCCAAAACGATATCGTCAAAAAGTTTGAATACAGTTTGTAAAACTGTTGTGTTTTTGTACTCCTGAAATCATTTGTGATTTACATACATGTACTTTTGTTAAAACAACTTACTATTGTTGCAGTGAAAACAAATTAGATTTTGGTATCTAATGTTTTTAAAATATAATAAAATTTATTTATTTAAATACCAAGAGACTGTACTTCATTGCAGTTGAATATTAAACTACAATATTATTTATCCACTATAAAATACAGTAATATACAAGTGTAAAGTACTTTAAACAACACCAAATACCTGAGCGAACGTTCTTTTTAAGTACACGAACCTTATAGTGTAAGCTGAATTATACTTATTATAACTAGTTCTTCCCCCTTATCAGTCACTGTGAGCACCATTGCTTCGAGTGGTCGAAATTGTGAACAATTTGTTTAATCACTTTCTTTATGTTAAAAATTGTTTGAAAAATTAAAACTTAAAGGAACTGATTGTAAATAGGTATGCAACACATCGTACACTTCTGCATAAGAAATCGCTGATGTTAATTACGTAATACTACTTTGACCTGTGCTGACAGCACTCATAATTTCGTTTATGTAAAATATTTGTATCTTTAAATTATAATTACCACAACTTCTATGTAATTATTGTCATTAAAATATTCAAATGCTTTAGTTTTCTGACAAAAAAATAGTTGCATTTAATTGGTTTAAAGTATGTTTTATAATCAAAGGGATATCTTCATCTTTTTTTATTTCATAATTACATCTACAAGTAAAAAAAAATAATCATAAATCTTATATTAGAGTCACTTAACTATTTACAGATTTTTCAATTTGTTCCAATAACATTTCCAATCTATATTTCATGACTGGCTGTCCCTTTTTAGTTTTTTTCGATAGTTTTTTATATTTCTCCAACTTCTGTTTCTTATATTCTTGTATAGCGGCTTCTCTTTCGGCCTTCTTTTTTAATAATTCTTCTCTTTTTTTCTGCTTTTCTTCTTTATTTATTTGATATTTTAAATGAGCATTTCTGAAAAATTTCTTTTTTTTTTGTTTAGCATTAAAATTTTCACTTTTATTGCTACTTTGTTCATCGTTTAAGCTTGCATTTACGTTGTTATCATTTTCAATTTCTTCAGTTGCAATTTCACCGAGCTTTCTCAGTGTAGATACTTTACTGTCATCACTCTCTTCATTATCATATTCTTCATAGACTTTTTTTACATCAAACCCTGGTTTTTCATGTTTAACTTGTTTATAATATTGACGTAGAAGTATTTTTTTCCGTTTTTCTTCCCACTGTTGTAATTTATATTTTTTACTATACTTTTGGAGACGCCATTTCTTTTTATCAAATGGCTTCTTGTTGACTGTAACATTTACAGAATCACCTTTTGCATTTTCATCCTGTGTTTTAATATTAATCGCACATATACTTTTTTTTGGGAACGATTTATTGGACTTCCTAGAATTTTGTCTAGCATTTAGAATGTCACGTTTTTCTTTTGGAGTAACAAAAAATCCACTGCTCCCGCTGGAAGATGCTTCATTGGTATGGGATGGCTGTTTATTAAAGTCATTTTTTGTAATAAAAAACTTGTCTTTTTTAGATTGAATATCTATAGTGCTTTTCTTGTTCCTCATGCTTTGTCTACATTCCTATTCGTTATGTTAATTATGAAGTACCTGAAAAAGCGTGCAATGATAGTTCTACTTAATTTCATTTTAAAATTACAACAAAAAATAATTAAGTTCTGCAATACATGCAAGTTATTCTGACTCTTGCTTGAGAATGAAGTTTATATTTGCACGCTTTACTCAGTTACTAATTACACTTTTACAAAAAAAAAATAGCACGAACAAGATAGATTCGAAAACAGAAATAAATAAAATTCAATAAAAAGACAAAATTCAGAATAACATGTGATGCAATCTCAGGAAAATTTATTTCACTTAATATTAGACTGCACCAAAATCACTTTTTTCACATACTTAGGGAGTTCACTGGTTAATAACTCACTTTAACCACAGCCACAAATTGCGACACCCAGTAAAAAGTACATCAACAGGTCAGGTGAAAGTAGTAATTTAAAAAATTTAAAATAAAAAATACACAAATAATTCCGTTGAAAAAATATGTAACATCTAAGATATTCCAATAACTAGAAATTGAAGGAGTTTTAGAAGTCCCATATGGGCTTTAGGGAAAATATATTAGGTAAATACGAATATTAAGATAAAAGAGAAATTTTGTGCCGTTGAGTTAGATTTAAAAAGATTTATGTAGAATAATATTATACCTGCTTTCAAAAAGGCAAATTATGCATTATTAAGTAAATTGTCATACAATAAGGATCTAGCTCTAGTTTCACAACAGTTATTAATACACTTTGTAATTTAAAAAGTAAGATGTTATTTTTAGGTTTTTTATTTGACAATGGAAAATTTATAACTTACTAAAGTAGCTTTTATGTAATAGGCAACTACAAAGAAAATGTGACTTCATAACGTATATTATTATGAATCGTGGATGTGTAAAATTATTTGACGATATCATTTGAATAAATCGACTTGCGGTTATAAGGTGGGCATATTAAGCATATTTTAGAGGTGTAGTTAAGTATCAAAAGCATGGTAAAATGAATAAATATGGCAAATATATACCTTCGGCAGCCACCCCCTGGGTTGGCAACAACTTTTACGCGGAATCTTGATATATTTCGTCGACAGTTCTTGGGAAAGCCGTCCTCCGTCTAGTCAATCAATTGGGTTTTCAATTTGATCTGTTTTACCTTCTGCAACCATTCCGAAAAATAGTATTAACTGGATTTCTCGACCTCGTGATACACGCACTCAACTGACAACAGAACAAACTGCCACAAATGACAACCTAAAAAGAAGGAAATGCAGAGAACCAGTGAGATATATATGATTACTATTGTCAAATTGCTATCAGTATCGCCAACATTATTAATGGTTACTAACTATATTATTTCTATGAAGAAAAGTAGGTATCATTTTATAATTTCCTAACAGAAGAATTTGTTCAGTAGCTGTCCGTAAGATGATAGCACATTATTTGGTATACATAGTATGCTCCATAAGAAATTGTACAACTTACAGAATTAATAATATTAAATCTAAAAAAAGTATGAGTGCTGTCAGCACAGGGTGAAGTAGTATTACGTAGTTAGTATTAGTAATTTCTTATGCTGAAGTATACGATGTGTTGCATACCTATTTACAAACATTTCTTTTAAATTTTAATCATTGATTACTATACATCTATTAAAAAACCATAATGGCTGACATCAGTAACAATGCGACAACAATTGAAAAAGAATGATGGCAGTCAACTGCAACAATTAGAAAAGAATGATGGCCGACGCTACGTCATAGAGGAGCAATAAAAATGGCCGGGAGCAGGGGGAAGAACTAGTTTATACTAAATAACAAATACAAAATACATAAGACCCTGCGTCCATCTTAATAAAATTGTTTATTGGGCATTACCTGTTTAATTAGCTAATAGAGTAATTGTTTAATTACAAGTAATGATTATATTATTTAAAAAACAAAATATTTTCCCATTCACATCCTCTCACTGACATTTTCTTATTTTGATAAAACCTTTAGTATCTTATTTATTAATTGTAACAAGATATTTAATACATGTTTCCAATTAATAAACTACATATTTTTACCGATATTTTTTTATTAATATTGATTTAAAACAATTACCTATTTAGAAATTCCAATTCGAAACGCTAAAATATATTAGTAGCACAAGAAGTAATTAACTTTCCATAGTGACTTATTATGTGTACGTAAACGATTATAAAACCATTAGTAGGTAACTACAATTATTTACTGCTTCAAGATACTTAGCAGAAACGTACATACGAGTTTCCATTTATTTTTTTCATTTAAGCCAACAAATAAATAAATGCATTTTTGGTTTGATTTGTTGATAACAAATTAACAACCAGTGGTTTACAGTTAGAAACATATGACAAATGAACTAATTCTTGACACTGTATTTATTAAAATAATTTTGCGGTAGGTTGAGATTTTTGTTACGAAAAAACGTCTATTGATTGACCTACTATCCTATTAACCATAAACATGCTGTATCTGCTTGTGTGTCTGTGCCGGATGCGAGAAGGGTGGAATCTTGCAATGGATTTCCACCTTCTTTCCCGTTACCCAAAAGTTTTCTCTTTTATGTGATAGTCTAGTATAAGCTCGGCGCGGTTGCTTTGATTAAGATAATAATTAATAATGCCATAACAACTCAGCCAATATCTAAAACCCGATAACCCGGAAAGCTTGCTTATTGGGTTTATACATACATACAGCTGTAAATTGTTAGTTTCGTTTGTCTTGTCAATTGTTAAAATTTAAGCAAACGCTACGATCTATTGAATCTAAAAAGATAGTTACGTGAAACCTATATGTATATGTATGCGACACTAGAGATTAGCCTCAACTTTTTTGCTTATTCTTTTATCCAAATCAACTACAATTACCGCATGTAGGCTTTCTTTGTTTTTTTTTTTAAACACCTGGACACCCCGCCCCCTTTTGAGATTTTTACGCCTTTGCTTTATTATTTAGTTCTTCTTCTTAAGAAATTTTAAAAATCTGAAAAATCAATGAATACAGACCTACAACATTAAATTTTTAAAGGGGGTCAGTACACTATTCGTCGCCTAGATTAATCGACGAAGGTCAAAGTTAGATGGGTCATCCAATATTCACGAAAAGTTATTCAAACTTGCTTCGACTTTGATCTTGCTGGGAAGTGGGACATGGGTCTCAGTACGTCAGATTAGGTCTTTACAGGATGGGTTTCTCTAATTTACATGTACCATGGGTTTAGGTTAGGTTGTGGTGAGAGAGGATTTTCTGATTGGTATGTCATAATCGTAAATTCATCTTTTTTACTTGGGTGGAACGTAAAACGTACCGAGGATCTGGGGTGTTTGGGAAGCCTCCACATGTAAGAGGGGTTTGGGAATATTTAAAATGTTTAATAGCATTAAATTGTTAGTCTTTGAGCTTTTTCAAATTATTTTCAAGATTCTGGGATGGTAAAATACTGGGTATCCCGTTTCCACCAAAAAATACAACAAGCGTATGAATAAATCAGCGAAGGGTTACCTTCCAATCTTCAGATTGATCGCTCTAAGAAAGTCACAGTTTAATTTCTGTTGTTATTATTGTAGAAGGTACTTACTGGCACATTTATTTTTATTTTTCAAAAATTTCGTGCGCGCGACCCTCGTGCTCTAGGCACTTGCCTAGTTTGCCTTACGGATAATCCGCCTTTGATCATTGTAAAAGAAACCTTTACGCAAAAATTTCAAACCTCTTAACTCGGCGGTTTGGTCTGTGTTATGATCGATACGTCAGTTTTCGACCCTATTATTTTAAAGGTTGAGTTTTAAAAAAAATCTTTTCTTAGTGCTCGCTTACGTTGTAGAGGAAACGTCTGTGCAAATTTTCAAATCCTTAGACTCAGAGGGGTTTAGGCTGCGCGTTAATATATCCTGATATATTAAATCTATGAGCTAAATGTTCCTTAAATCTAAAGTTAAATGCCCTAGTATCCTGGCCTATGTATATTCTGTTTTTAAAAATATGTTGTGAAATATTCCAGATATTCACATTGAGTTACCGTTTAATAAAACGCTACCGCCGCACCTGTAATTTTATCCAATTGCAACATTAACTATCTGTAATTTATTGCATAATGGCATTTGACCACTAACAGGCGTACAACGAAACGATTTATCTAAAAAACGAATTGATATGTCTTAACATTTGTCTACACGTATACGTTACATACCTACGAACAGGTAATACTTACAATTAGTTTTCGTATAACAAAAATGTTAGTGAGTGTGCTTCAGTGTGTCTTTTAATTGGTTGTAGTAAAATCTTTAAAGATAACAGTGGGAATATAATGTACAAAAGAATCCGCAGATAAGCTCAGCAAATCTGATAAATGATATTTACCGACACTTTAATTTAAAAGAGTGCCAATTTTCTTTTTAATTTTTGAAATACTCCGACAGTCAGCGCAAATTTTAATTGGAGTGTTCACTTTCGCCATGAATGCGTACATCTTTAAGTTCCGTAAGTTTTATTTTTATAATTTTCATGTAATTGCACATTTCAATGAATACTTTCTTTTTTTCATTCGCAAAAATAATAATTCGACCTACAGACTTGGCAGTTTTCATTATAAATTGTTTTTTGTCCGGAAGAAATGGTCATGTGCTCGATGAAACTCCAGTAATAGATGGGTAAGTAAATTCACAACAAAGTTTTTTATTTCATTACTTTTCCCGAATTTGAAAATTTAAATAGTAAAATAAGATAAATGCGAACAAACTAGATATGAGAAAATATTTCCAATGTTTGCACCTAAAATATATTTGTACGTAATTTTCAACTTAAAATTAGTTTCGGGCATAATTAAGCATTTATTATTTGTAAAAGGCCTATAGAGATAAAGAAAGATCATACAGAATCATGAAGAGATAAAGAATATCAATGAGCGATTATGTTGATATAAAAATTTAAGACACAGCTATTATTCGGTTATCACTTACCACATAAATGCATAAACAACTAGATAACTATGCTTTTAGTTGTTTAAGGTTTAAAAAAGTTTAACGTAAATTCAAAATGTCAATTACATATTTAGTTTCTGATATCAGTAGACAGCTGATAATACTTGTTTAATTGCGCCATTGATAGATAGACATATATACTTACTGATTATGGTTATAACAATGTAATTTTTTCAAGGAGAAATTAATTCTATTGATCTATTGAAAAAAAAATTATTCTGCACTTAGGGTGCCGCACGGCGGAAAAGGACAATCAGTAAATCTACTTTTACTTTTGTAACATTCGTAAAAAAAACAATCACAATCTTTAAGTTACAACATACTTATTAATGCCACCACAATTATCATTTCAAGCATTATATTTATTCCATCTGAAGAAGCGTCTGTATGGAGAAATGTTGAGATGACATTAATAAATGTGTTGTAACTTAATAATCATGTGGTCGATTTCATCGTTAGGAGATACATGAGAATAAAATTAGAGAAGAATTGCATATAATGGTGTTTCGGATATGGTCCAATATTAAGAAAAATACAGTCTCCCTTCCTTATTAACTCAATCCTCCTAAATGCAACCAGTTATCTTCAAATTGGAGAAAATTCGGGTTAAGGAAAATTACTACTTTACTGCCAAAATTTTTAATTTTTGAGTCTACAGATGTGCAAAATGTTCTTTAAAAGTATTTAAATACAAAACGCAAATACTTTTTTGATTTGTTATTTGCAGATGATATAGCAGTATTAGCATCTAGCTAGGAGGACTTAGAGATAGCTTTAAATAAAATGGAAGCGGTACTGACAGATCAGTACTGTGTGAAAATAAATAAAAGTAAAACTAAAATACTGGTTTGGGAGGGAAGAATAAGTAGAGAAAGAGCGAATATAAAGATAGGAGACGAAAAATTAGAAGAAGTGGCTGATTTTAGATATCTATTAAGAGAGATAAGTCAGGATGGAAGGAGTAGTAGGGATATAAAGCAGAGGATAGCGCAGGGTCGTGTCGCCTTTAATAAAAGAAAGTCATTTCTATGCTCACGAACGGTTAATTTCGAAATTCGAAAAAGGTTGTTAAAGGTGTATGTTTGGAGTATGGCGTTGTACGGGTGCGAAACAGGGACAGTGGGCTCGGCGGAAAAGAAAAGGTTAGAAGCGTTCGAAATGTGGTGTTATAGGCGAATGATGAGGATAACATGGGTAGAAAAGGTTAGAAATGAAGAGGTATTGAAAAGAATAGGAGAATAGAGGACTCTATGGAAGTCAATAAAAAATAGGCGAGATAGGTTGGTAGGACACCTTCTCAGGCATGAAGGTCTAGTCAGAGACATATTAGAGGCAGAAGCAGGAGTTAAGAGGATTAGAGGTAGACCTAGATTAGATTACTGTTCGCAAATAGTTAAAGATGTGGGCTGTTCTAGTTTTAGGGAAATGCGAAGTTTAGCTCAGGATAGGAAAGAGTGGAGGTACGTGTCGAACCAGTCTTAGGACTGACAACCTTATGATGATGATGATTCAAAATGTAAAATATGAAATAGATTTCCTTTTTGTATTTTAAATGCTAAATGCGAAATACGTATTTTCATAATACTTTTTCAAATAAATACTTTTCTGTAGTACCTATTTAATTTCCTTATTCCTTATTTACTTAAGTAGAATTTCGTAGTTGCTTGCTAAAGGTACGATAAGTGGTGATTTGATATCAATTTGGAACTTCAAAATTCCACGGACCATGACATTGATCCCGGAAAACAATATCGATCCAATATTTTAGATTATACATTTTCAATGAGTTTAGAATTTTTTGGGTTCTCTTCAGTTAAAGAATTAGAAGACATTCATAGAATGTCTCTTTGTCCCCTTTTAAGTTTCTAATACCTTCAATGGCCAATGTGAGCAACTTTCATTCATCATTTTATATATTTGATCGGTGATACTAGCAAAACGTTTAACGGCAAAAATGTATTTTGTATTTTGCGAAAAGAAAATACGTTTGGAAAAGTATTTTAAATGAAATACAAAATGCTTTTCTCAAAAAAGTATTTAAATGCAAGTATATTTTATTTTGTATTTGCATTTTAAATGCAAGTATTTCAAGTAAATCACATATCTGGTTAAGTCCACCCTAATAACTCTTACAATCTTATATCACGAGATCAAATAATTCAAGTACTTCTTTAGTGTTGTCTTTTTTGCTGTTTCAAAAACATAATACTCAGTGGCGTTGTGAAGAATTATTTAGTTCCGCTTAAAAATTCGAGCCATTGTTTATTTATCAATGTGGCTGATTTTTCCGAAGAAAATTAATGGAAATTAGAATTAAAGAATCAATTTATAATGAAAATCCCTCCCTCGAATCTCTAGTTAAAGAAAAAATTCGAGTTATAAAAACTGAGGAATTCAAGTTAATGAGTTTGGAATAAATGTTTGTAAAACAATCAACAAAATAACATTCGAGTTAGAAAAGATTTCGAGTTATAAAACATGGAGATATAAGAGTTCGACTGTTAAATTAAAAATGACAATTAATTTACATTAGTTTCCTATTATTATGAATAAAAGGCAGAATAGTCGTCCAATAAATATGTGAACTGAGGTCGTAAAAAGTTTTAACAAAATTTAGGATACAACAACCTCATCCTCTGTGTTTTCATTGTTAAAAGATCTATGGAATTCTTAAAAGTAAGGCTTTATACTTCCACTTTTTACTGTCTCCTACCCTGGGTTGCATCCGCACGACAATTTACATTTTGGTAGAAAGAAAATTAGTTTTATGCGATTGTCGATAATCTTTGAAAACCCTTGGGTAAAACCTAGTAGCCCATAAAGTTTATTTCATTTTACGACTAATATTAGGAGGTCTCCCCCACCACTGTACCATAAAAAGTTCGTGGCGGTCTCACCCCCATAAAAAGTTATAGGGGTTAGATGGGGGTGGGGGAGGGTGGATCGAAAGAGGGTGGTCACCTGAGTAAAACTCCATAAAAAATTTGCGGCGGTCTCACCCCCATAAAAAGTTATGGGGGTTGAAAGTTGATTATTTTGACAATTTTCATACACTATAATTCAAATAAAATTCAATAAAAAAAATATTATCAAGCAGGTGGAGGTGGGGGATCGAAAGAGGGTGGTCACTTGAACAAAACCCGATAACCTAACCTACCCTATTGATAAAGATATTTAAATAATGTTTTATATAACTTTGTCAATATATTCATGTATTTTTCATTAGTTTTACCTTTCAATATTGTTTAAGAATGACCATATAAATATTTACATGCCTAGAAATGTATAAAAATTGGCATATTTATTACCTTTGAACCCCTATAACTTTTTATGGGAGTGAGACCGCCACGAATGTTATGTTACAGTGTTGGGGGAGACCTCCTCTTTCGATCCCCCTTATCCCCATCCCCGAAGGGGGTGGAGGCCATCATCTAGACCTTTACCGACTTATTACTTTAACGTAAATAGCTTTTGATAAATATAATCTGGTGTGACAGGCTGAGACATCAATAACCGTAATGAAATTCTGTTTTTAATTCTTTCTAATAAAACAAAATATCTTATATATATGATTACTTTTAACATCTGTAAATAATAAAATTTAAAGTCGATAAATAATTTGCAGCCACAACGACTTGCCATACAATCTCTACGCTCTACTGCGAAATAATTTGTCAGGATTTAATTTTTCGGCAGACCTAACTTCCGACCCTGTTTGGGGATCATGTTCATCCTGTTTTACCGATATACCTAGACTAAGAAAAGGGAAAGTAGGCGCTCAGGTAGGTAGATCAATTTAAATCGTGATCAAACGTAAGCTTTAAACACATGCAGGGGATATGATTTTCTGTTCAAACGTTTACACTTTAGGTGTTGATTTTGCAAAAATTCTTTCTCACAATATTTCGGCAACTTGTAAGGAACACACCTTCTTCCATTTTCAATGGTTTAGCCTGTATCTGTCTGTTACTCGAAATCAGTCACGGGAATGCTTTATCTTGTCATTTGATTACTGATTGAGTAAAACGTATGAATACTGATAAAAAAGTAATAGATATCATGCAATAACTTTCTTATGGAAAACAATAAAATATTTTGAGCTCAATTTTTGAGTAAAAGGGTATTTTGGGAAAAGCTTATCAATATATTATACGGTCCTTGGTTTTAAGAAATGTCAGAGATGTTTCTTTTCATCTTTCAGATTGAATTTCAGTAATAAAAGAGGAGAAATTTAATTAAAAACTAAAATTTCTAATGTTCTTTGCGTAAAATAAATTCTTTTTTTAATCATAAATATATTCCAAAATTAATAAGTAACAAAGTACGTATTACCTTTACGAAAAAAAATGTATCAGAGCCTTTTTATAGAACGTTTTGGAACGACGTCCCTTATTGCACGTTACCCTGCTTTCACACAGACGGTTTTTTGCCGTGGCTGTGCACGGCAACCGTGCCGTGTATAATAGTAATACATTGGTTTATATGCAAGCTTTCACACAGCACGGTTTGCTGCCGTAGCCGTGCACGGCTGCCGTCGCAGCACGGCATGGGGACGCAACGGCACGGCGCCGTAGCCGTGCACGGCAACAGTGAGACAAGCAAGTGTATAGAAGTATTCACACGTGCCGTGTGTTCACACGGCAAAAATTGTTTTCAGGATCGTTTTTCTCTTTGAATTGTGCAGTTAACAGAAGAAATTATATAGTGTGGCGGATAATAACACCGCTATATTTAATTTAAAACATATATTTGACTAAACATTATATTACATCCTTTTGTAAATATTTCTACTCGAATTCTTTTCTATCTGTCTTTCTATTATTATTATTATTCTCTGCGAAAATATTTGGAACAGTGTCTTTATCAAGGTAAAAATCTTACTCCAAGCATCGGTAGAGATTATATAATTAAGAAAAATTTACCTCCTTTCTTAATAATATATCATTGGGGAAGATAATACAAAGGATATATTGAATATGAGCATTTAAATTTTCTCGGATATTTTTGAAGAAACAAGGTTTTGTACAGATATATATTACAATCTTCTTTTATCTCTTATAAGCTAGACAGTGAAAACTTTAATAATTTGATTTCTTTTGGTATCAAAGCGTTACATAACAGAAAGGAAAACCTTTTTCTATTTCTGATAGATTGTTTTCTGATTGATACTCATTTTTTTTTTATTTCCCTCTTGATATTAAATAAAGCGTAATCATTGTCAATTAATTTTGATGACTATTACTAATTTTTAAATCATCTTGCAATTTTACGCATAATTCATCGAAACTCCTAATGGACATCGAAAATAATTAAAAAATTTGGAGCTATCCTCTCGTAGCTCATGAAATAATGTAACAAATACACCCATCCATTGTCTGTTTTCAAGTAGTGGATGAATCCAAAATCTTCTTGTTTTTTGTGTTTTTTTGCGATTATGCCGTATCATTAGTAACAACATGCGTTTTTTTCTTTCGTCCATTTTGGTCATGTATCAAAACAAAACTAAACCGTGAAAAACCGTGTGCAGTGTGAACGCAAACCAAAATGAAATTACGGCACGGCACGGCACGGTTGCCGTTAGAAAACCGTCTGTGTGAAAGCAGGGTTACGGCGTCAAGAATCTAACCAGCAAAAATTAGCATTACTAAATGAACTTCTGCCTATTTCTTAGTTTTTTACCGAAGTTTCTTTATATTTCTATAAAATGACTAGAATAGTATTCTTTTCCATGCTGTTCATAAAGAAAACTAAAATGTCCTACATGCTTCCAATAAATATCAATGCTATGAGCTCTCCTTGGAACATCTCCAGGCACTTGCAACTGTTAAATTGGTTTCAAAAAGAAAAAGAAAAAAGACTTTTAGGATCACCCTGCATATTGATTTCATAAAATTGTATACTTCTTGCGAACAAATATTTTAATAAATTATTAATTGTTTTTATAATTAAAGTGTATTTTTACCCAAGCGTTCCTCGATACTAATTACAAAGTATCAAAGTTTTTATAATATTTATTTGTGTTTAAAGTTCTGGGTAGCATACGTAGGTTGTTCAACTCAATACAAAGATGCTCTAGGAAAAACGCTAGAACAGATTGATGTTATAAAGAGATTGGTGAAAGCATATCCCAATGATCTACTATTGGCTACAACAGCAGACGGTAAGTTATTTCTATAATTTCCGCAGCAGTTATTTCAAGTAATTTTATTCTAAGGTTAGATTGTATAATTTGATAATTTAGGCGAATGTTAGGGCAGTAATATTCCCTAGGTGATTTTTCACTCTGTCCTCAATCCATTTCATTCGCCTCATCTTTCTCATCTCAATCACCATCTACCCATTCCGACTATTCCTAATAGGAGGCTGATGAGGGCCTTCCGCTCTATCTTCCGGCATAGTCTGACTGCAACACTCAAAAGTTTCTATTTTGTAATGGTGTTCATTCATTTTCCTCATAAGTTATTCCTTCTTCAACTCTGCAGTATACTTGAAAGTCTGATTTAGTAGCGTAGCATGCGGGAAGCAGAGGGAGTCATGTACCCCGGGCGGAGTAAAAGTAGGGGCGGCAAAAATATTTCTTTCGGTATTAGATAGAATCAGGTCCGCCTCACAGTAATGTTAGATGCCTCAATTTATTAGTATTTATACCAATTTTTAATAATTTGTGTCATGGAACACCTTTTAAGTTTTAGAAATTTTAACCCCCCCTTGTCATCAAAAATAAGCAAAGCTTTTACCTCCCTATGTTTACGTAAACATTGGTATCTGCATATTTTCTTAAAATCTTTTTAACTTAATCATAAAACACTTCGTGAGAGCGAGTGAGCATTATCCGTTATTTTGGGGAATCCCAACACGCGTTTTGCTTTTGAACATATACAAATCGGGTTGTCATATTTGTTCCAATCAGATCTACCAGATTTTGCAGAAAAATCATATAAATAAATAAATAAATATTAATAACATAATCACCAACCAGATCCCTGTCACCGTATCATAAAAAGTAGACATAGAAAAGGGCGGCAAATTTTGGCTTCACCCCGGATGGCAGAAACTTACGCTACGCCACTGGTCTGATGCAACTAAATTTAAAATAAAATGTTCACTTTATTTCAGATTTCACGTTTCATACCCGACAGTAATGATCAAATCACAAATATCAGCACATTTTCTTTTAATGAAACACTTCCTGCATGCTCAGATTACCTATGTATGTTGCTATAAAATTAAAAATACCAGAAGTGGTACTGGGTTCCAAAATAAACTAATCTATGCCTAACGATAAATATTCTGTATATTTGTTAATTAATAGTAAATTATACCTTCGGAATTTCTACCACTCTAGTTGATATGAAGATTTTGTTTCAGATATTGTACAAGCGTTTAATCAAAGCAAAATTGCAAGTCTCATTGGAGTAGAGGGAGGACATTCAATGGACTCTCGTTTGGGAGTTTTGAGACTTTTTTACGAATTAGGTGTCCGCTACATGACCCTCACACATTCCTGCAACACACCATGGTAATTTTATATTTAACTTTCCCAGTCATTTATTTGCATTTTTTTAATGTTTTAAATTCGATTTAGTGAAAAAAGAATACATTTGGAACAGTATAAGTTCCTCATGAATAATATCGAAAGTAACAGACGCAGATCGCGATTTTGATCGCCTCTTTTTCACTGACTTCCATAACGCCCTCTTAGTAGACGAAATAAAGCACAAAAATAGGGAAAACTTTCGAATTTTTGTGCAGTAAGTCGGACTGAGATGCCGTTTTCTGCATTCGATTTGTGAGACCGTCTACAAACTTTCAGAGATCAATTCATCTTCAAAAATGCATTAAAATGATTTACTTGGGGGTTTTGAGGATTTCTCAACACGAATATGTAATCGACAACAGCCTCCAACGTACTTGGGGCCCAGGGTGACCGTCATATAGACGTCGTATAGTGATTTGATCCTGAGTTATCTGACTTAACCTAAATTTCGTCGTTTTCTCTCACCTAATAACCGTAAAGCTAAATGGGCTCGGGTGTTCCTCTCTTTCTTCTAAACCCGAATTGGTCATTCTCTAAAATTCCTTGAGCTTTATTTTACGACATTCTCGGAATGATTCTAATTAAGATTAAAATTCTTGCAACTATCCGCGCTCTTCTCTTTTGGTAATTCCGTTTATAACCATCTGGAATTTTCCCTGCCTTGTAAATGTAAGTGTCGCTAGTTTTAATAATGATCTCTAACCTTTCGACCTACATGTTCTAAAACTTGCATTGCATCCGATTTATACTTGGTACCTTACTATTCCTTAATTTCTCTAGTTCCATTTCAAACTCTCTTATTATGGGGGTTTACAATCCATCTACCTCCCCGCTGTCTTATTCTATTATTACACCTCCTAACTATTGCCCTGCGTACAGATTTCCTAATTATTCATTCCATCTATCCGCTTTTTCCTTATTTTCTAATGGGTTTCTGATTCGTTATTCCTTGTACTACATGTCCTATTTCTCTAAGAAGCCTTTTAATATAATTAAATTATAATACATAATAAAATGTCTTAATAAAATAAGTTAACGTGTTTTAATTTAGGGCTGACAATTCCTACGTCGATGATGCAGCTCCTGTGCTCAATTTAACCGAATATGGAAAGGTAATAATTTAATTTAAATGGTAAAATATAACTGTATACATTACAACGCAACGAAACTTTAAAAATGATAAGAGTTTTTTCGACGAGTCTGTACGCATAGATCGCTATAGTTATTCCGTAGGTACATCTCTTTGAGTTTTTATACCCTTTTTGTATATCAAGAAAATAATTTACATTTGAGAACTTTGATAAAAAGCTTTTCATATTCTTACATTGAACAATATTTTTAGTACGTACTATAGATCATTCTGAAGTCGATTTTATTAATTCTTAGACAGTTGTTCGTGAAATGAATAGATTGGGAATGATGGTAGATTTGTCCCATGTTTCCCATGCGGTTATGAATCAAGCAATTATGGCTAGTAGAGCTCCAGTTATTTTCTCCCATTCATCATCGTATTCGATATGTCAACATAACAGAAATGTTCACGATGATACGTTGCAGCTTTTGGTAAGTATTACTAAGTGTCTATTATCATTTACATGTGAACACTTCCATTGGTAGCATCGCCTTTTACAGTTAATACGAAATTGATTCGTAATTTGTGACTTTATAGTATTGAAAATATTACCGGAGTGGCTTATATTATAGGATCTATCATGAAAAATGAAATCGCTCTGCGATAGATCTGAAGGTCAATCGAGGTAGATGGTCGAAGGTTTCTAGGCCTCTCACTTAAATCAAATGTAACTGTAAATAAACTCATAGGTAAAAATTCCCAAAAAGAAGACATTTGCGTGTCAATATGGCGTGTCTACAAGAATGCTCAAATTGCGGCTTTCGAAATTTGTTTTTACCTTTTTTTTATCATAAATAAAAAGCGCTATATTCTGTGTTATATCTCTACTACTCCCTCCATTATGAATTATCTGACTTTCTGTTATTATCATCATAATGTCGACAGTCCTAAGACTGGTTGGACACCCACTTCCACTCTTTCCTATCCTGACCTAATCTTCGCATTTTCCTAAAACTAGAATATCCCACATCCTTAACTATTTGCGAAAAGTAATCTAATCTAGGTCTACCTCTACCACTCCTAACTTCCGTTTCTGCCTCTAATGTCTTTAACTAGACATTCATGCCTGAAAAGGTGTCCTACCAACCTATATCGTCTATTTCTTATTTACTTCCATGGTGTCTTATGTTATCCTATTCTTTCTAATACCTCTTCATTTCTAACCTTCTCTATCCACGGTATTCTCATCATTCGCCGGTAACACCCCATTTCGAACGCTTCTAAACTTTTCTTTTCCAATGCGCTCACCGTTCATGTTTCGTACCCGTACAACGCCGCGCTCCAAACAGACACCTTTAACAATCTTTTACGAATTTCTAAATTAATCGTTCGCGAGAATTGAAGTGACTTCTTTTTATTAAAGGCGACACGACCCTGCGCTATCCTTTGCTTTATATCCCTACTACTCCTTCCGTCCTGACTTATCTGACCTTCTAGATAGGTACCTAAAATCAGTCACTTTATCTAAACTTTCGTTGCCTATCTTTATATTCTCTACTTTTTCTTCCCTTGCATACCAGTATATTTGTTTTACTTTCATTTATTTTCATACAATAGTGTTTTTCCAATACAGCTGGTAAATATTAATTAATTAAAATTAAAAGGAAGACTCACCCATAATTACCACAAAAACTTTTCGAGCGAACACGTGTTTCGCCCACTTCATACGTGTTATTATACAGTCTCACGTTGATAATGCCCACGTATGAAGTGGGCGAAACACGTGTTCGCTCGAAAAGTTTTTGTGGTAATTAGTGGTGAGTCTTCTTTTTAATTTTAATTAATTATTTTATAACAATTTCAGTTTTTAGCATCACTATTTGTTAGATTTTAGGTTTTAATTGAAAAAAAAAATTGTAGGGTTTGCCATCATTCGGGATTTTACAGTAGTACACGTATATTTGATAACTATCACTTAAGTATGTGTGCAATAATGAAATATTTGCTTTCCTGTTATTGTAGAGAAACAACAATGGAATTATAATGGTTAACTTTTATAGTGGATTTGTCAACAACAATGCGACAGCAGCAGAATTAGATGACATAGTGAGTAAGTATACATTAAAAAAAATTCCAGTATGTAACAAAATGTTCAATTATTGTTAAACCTGTTTCAGGACATATCAATTATATTGTGGATCAAATAGGCGTCGAATATGTCGGAATTGGTGCTGATTACGACGGAGTTGATTCGTAAGTGTGATAACATTAACCACAATGGCAAATAAAAAAAGTCATAAACCATAATGATTTCCTGTTTCTTAAACGTAATGAATGTTTAACTAATTGATAAAGGAATTTTCAAAAAAAAGAAAAGAAAAGTACTTATAATATGAAGTTATTAAAAAATATGAATAGAAATGAACACTGATACCCTGATAAAAAGTTGCTAGTCACACTTTAGATTTTTATCTACATCTCAAAGAAAACCTTGTTAATTTTTCTTCAAAAATAAATAAAAAGTAAATAAATGAGGCAATCACCTATATTAAAAATATATTACATCAGTTATGTTGCCTCGGTCGTGTCGTCTTTAGCATTCATCTTATGCCTTATGCGGTGTTAATAAATTATCTTTAAAGAAATTTAAGAAACATAAAGGTTAGAAAAATGTATTTAAAGCGAGCACAATTGAGAATGAAATAAGAAAATTTTATTTTTTTCCATGGCACTGAATGTCATTAACAATAAAAGCAAAAAAACATACACAAAAATCATTACTTCATCGTAGTAACATTTATAAAAGGTATCTAGATGTAGGTATTTGATTTCAGCAGAGTTTGAAAATGTTTGTAATACTTATGATCTTAAAAAAATCAGTTATTATTTCAACAATTTTCCATTTCTTCGCCTTACTTTGAATATGTGTAACAGAATCAGTACCAATAAAGGCTGTAAACACTAACAATAAATCGTTACAACCCTTATTGCTTCTTATTCTTTTACACATTATTTGAGCAATGTCCATTTTTAAAATATAATTATTTCTAAACTATTTTTAAAATTTTCAATTCAAATCGTTGAATATTTTCATTACTTTAGACATAACCATTCTTTGGAACTAGATGTATGGGAGTAATTTGTATTGTATCAGAATTGTTTAAACAATTTTTAGCATGCCTAGAGGCTTGGAAGATGTATCAAAATATCCCGTTTTGTTTGATCGACTTCAACAACTAAACTCAACCAGATGGACCAATGAAACCTTACAATTACTAGCTGGTAGAAACTTTCTGAGGGTGTTCTACGAAGTAGAAAGGGTAATATATTTACTAAATATTTAAATATCTACCTATACATTAAAAACCTTTTTCAGTTTATAACTTATTTTTCGAGAATTCAGTTTCAATAAACATATTGCATCGCACTTTTTACAGTCCCCAATTTTTTTCAAATTCAATTTTTGTTTGTTGTAAGGAATGTTAGGATAGAAGGTAGAATAAAAGCAGTTAGGTGGAAAGAGTACTTAAAAGTTTATGGAGATTTATTAGAGAAAGGAGATATGTAGAGACGTGAGCTAGGTTCGCCCATAATGAGAGAAGAGTTTGATGTGTAGCATTAGAAAACTTTAAGAATAATAAGGTACCAAATATAGATGGGATACAGGCGGAAATCCTAAAACATACAGGACGACAGGTTAGAAAACATATTCACGAGACGGGAAAGTCCCGGAGAATTATAAACGGAACGTGATAGTAGACATACCAAACCAGAAAAGCGCGGATAGATGCGTCACATTTAGAACAATTTGCTCAATTTCCTATGCGTCAAAAATCGTACAGAGAAGGATGGAAAAAGTGGCGGAAGAACTATTAGGGGAAGAAGAAATAGAGGAATGCGGGAGGTCACGGGTAACAATAGAGAAAACAAAAAGAAAAGGAAAGAGCGCATACATAGAATTCGTATATTTAGAAAAAACCTTTCCACAATGTCAAGATGCTGAATACACTTAAAACTGTAGGGCTGAGGTACAGATTTAGAAGAGTGATACATAGTTTGTATAAGACGCGAAGACGCGATAAACATCATTAAAGAAAGGGCAACTTACGGGATATATATATACAGGCAAAAGATTAGTATGCTTAGATTTGCAGGTGATATAGCATCATTAGCATCTAGCAAGGAACAGTTAGAGAGATAACCTTAAATAAAATGGAAACGGTATCGTATAAAACTAGGAAGAAAAAACAGAAGATAGCGCAGGTCGGGTCGCCTTCCTAAAAAAACAGTCACTTCTGTGTTCGCTAATGATTCATTTTGAAATGAGTTCAAAATGTAGTGTTTCAGGCGAATGATGAGGATACCGTGGATAGAGAAGGTTACAAATGAGGAGGTATTAGAAAGAATAGAACAAAGGAAAATAAAAAATAGGCGAGATAGGTTACTAGGACACCTTCTCAGGCACGAATGACTAGTTAGAGACATATTAGAAGCAGTAACAAAAGTTACGAGTAGTATAGGTAGACCTATATTAAATTATTGTTCAGAAATAGTTCAGGATGTGGGATGTTATAGTTTTAGGAAAGTGCGAAGATTAGCTTAGGATAGGAAAAACTGGAGGTACGGGTCGAACCAGTCTTAGAACTGACGACCTTATGATGATGTTAAAGGAACGTTAAAGTGATATTTATGTAGAAGACGAAAGCCGCCGAATGTCGATATTTGTGGTCAAATAATAGGATGAAAAAAGCGTTAGGGATATAAAACAAGGGATTACGCAGGGATGAAGTGTTATAAAAAGATGTTAAAAATACGGTGGATAGAAATGACGAAGTATTAGAAAGAGTATGAAAATAAAGAGCGTTATTAAAGTCAATAAGCAAAATGATAGATATTATGATAGGATACCTTCTCAGACATAAAGAGCTAGCTAGAGACATATTAGAACCTACAAGTTTCTTCATAGTGACTGTTGCGTAAATAAAAATTTGTGTCGAAACATCATGCTTTTATTAAAATAAATTTATTTATTTACTGCGGTATGAGATATTAGATAATAATTTCAGGTAAGGGATAATTTAGCAAACGAAGAGCCTTATCAAGAATGGATTTCGTACGAAGATTTAGATGCAGTAGACAATGTTTCGGTTTGGAACTGTAGAACACTCCTCAATAATACAAGTCCATCGCTTCCTAGTGCACAGGCTTCAATCGCTAAACGTTCATTCAATGGTGTTGTAATATTTACAGTTATTGTCATGTATATGTTTCTGACATATAGCATTTTAGCTTAGAAATCAGTCTAAAGGAAAATTACTATGTATGTTATAGTCAAATCTCGAAGCTCCGGCACTCCTAGGTTTGACTAGTCAATCCTCAGGTGTGACTTAAAGCCCAAATAAATGACTATTTTTGACCTTTGACTAAAGAATTTTCGTTAAACCCAGGAGAAACTAATTTGGTCGGGAAACCGTAGAAATTGAATTTCATTAAATCGGGGTTTGACCAACCAAACTTCAATTAGATATTAGAATGTCTTAGTTTGTTGGATTAGGCATAATAAAACGAAATGGAAAGACGTTTTCTTTATAGCTGCTTTAACTGATTCTATCTCACAGATAATCTGCCCATACGTTTGTTTATTTCTAATATGAAATCAACACTTATGTTTATTCAGATTAGTAATTTTCTCTTTAAACTTCATTTTATCCGCGATTTCAGTAACAACACTATTTGATTCGCAAGCTCAATGTCCAAACATGAAATGACAAAATAATTTATCGGAACACCGCAAGACACGTATAAACCTGTTTAAAAAAACCGAGTCTAGGATCAACTTGGCAAAGTCCTAAACAGATTATTTTACTTTCGACGTTTGAAGTTAGGAACTTCTAGGTTTAACTAAAAATACTTCAGTCAAATGCTCAAATTCGAATTTATTCCGAGGTTTGCCTCAAAGCTTTGGTCAAATCTAGCATAAACCAGTCATTTTGGGAAGAGACTGCATATCGACCTTTGATTATAACATATATTATTATTAAAATTATAATAAACGAATATAATGAATATAAGTGCATTATTGATACCTAAAATACTCAGATATTTTACCATGCCTGCAAAAATTACCTATATATGCAATTTACTAAAAAAAAAAAATTAAGGCATACCTACATATAATAATAAAAATGGAAACCTCCTTGTTTTCATTTTCAGAAAGTTGTGACAGATTTATTTTTACGTTTAAATCTGTCTAAACATTTGAATGTTGGCTCCTGTTTCAAAACGGAACAAAACGTATTTTTGAAAAACCAAATAGAAAATAAAATTTTAATTTAATCTTTAATTTGGGCAGAAGTAAGATCTTGTGGTACAAATTTAAGAAAATATTGAAAATCGCGAATTTCAGAGTAGCTACTGATCATGAAAACCTATTATATAGGGTTGTTCGTTTTTTCCCGACAGAGGATTTAATAGTATTCTTTTGCACCCAACTTCACATTTAAGCCGTATAATTTTTATATGCTTTGAGAGCTCATATAGCAAGGCTTGTGTGTGAAAAATTCCAATTAATTCTACGCAGTAGTTTTTGGTTGGTGCCCTTTTAAATATGGAGAGCGATAAGCAGCATTTTCGACATATCTTACTGTTTTACTACAGAAAGGGTAAAAATGCTGTTCAAGCCAGAAAGAAATTGACTGATGTGTATGGAGAAGGTGTGTTGACAGTACGCCAGTGCCAGAACTGGTTCGCTAAATTTCGATCCGGCAATTTTGATGTCGAAGATGCACCACGTTCGGGAAGGCCGGTTGAAGCTGATAAAGACGCGATAAAGGCATTAGTTGATGTGAACCGGCGAATAACAACACGTGAGATCGGATTGAGGTTAAATTTATCAAATTCAACAGTTTATGACCACTTGAAAGGCCTGGGATTATCCTCGAAGCTCGATGTATGGGTTCCCCATGTTCTCACAGAGAGAAATCTGTGTCGCCGCATTGACGTCTGCGATTCGCTTCTCAAACGTCACGAAAATGATCCGTTTTTGAAGCGCATCATCACTGGGGACGAAAAATGGGTTGTATACAACAACGTCAAACGCAAGAGGTCATGGAGCAAAAAAGATGAACCGGCTCAAACCATTTCCAAAGCCGATATTCACCAAAAAAAGGTGATGCTGTCTGTTTGGTGGGATTTTAAAGGAATCGTTTTTTTTTGAGCTTTTACCGGATAACACAACGATTAATTCGGAAGTCTACTGTCATCAGCTGGACAAACTGAATGATGCACTTCAACAGAAAAGGTCAGAACTAATCAACAGGAAAGGTGTAGTGTTTCACCAAGACAACGCGAGACCTCACACAAGTTTGGTCACTCGCCAAAAGCTTTTACAGCTTGAATGGGATACAATGCTACACCCACCATATTCTCCAGACCTGGCACCATCGGATTATTATTTGTTCCGGTCACTCCAAAATTTTTTAGACGGTAAAACCTTCACCTCAAATGAGGAGGTCAAAAACCTCCTCGATCAGTTTTTTGCCAGCAAAGACCAAAAATTTTATGAGCGTGGAATTATGCTACTACCAGAAAGATGGCAAAAGATGTTGGACCAGAACGGTCAATATATAATATAAGTATTTGTTTATTATACGAAAACTGTCTTTCATTTCCACAAAAAAAAAAGAAATGACTTTCCGAACAACCCTATATATATATTTTGGTAAAAATTCAAAAATACGAATTTGAAATTAGCCTATCTGTTTGTCTGTTTAACTAAAGTATAACTGGTTATGGAAACTTAATATATAAACCACTTCTAGTTAATCTAGAACAATCAAATTTGGACTGACCTGTTGGTAAAAATTCAGAAAGAAATCTGAAAATCGCGAATTTCATATTAGCCTGTTTATCCGTCAATTTATCAAAAGTATAAGTAGTCATGGAAACCAATATAAAGCACTTCTACTTAATCTAGGATCTTCCAAGACCATCCAAGAAAGATCATATGGTACAAATTTCAGAAAAAATTTCAGTCATGAATTTCAAACCAGTCGATCTGTCTGTCTATTGTCAAAACTCAAAAGTATTACAAATCATAAGAACTTATATAAGATACTTGAGTTAGGGCATTATAAATTGGGCTAAAGGATGATCATATTGTGGTATACATTCAGGAAAAACTCTAAAAATCACGAATTTCAAAATACTTACATAAGGCACTTCTAGTTACTTTAAAAATCATGTAATTTGAACTGATATTTTCGTAAAAGTTTAGAAAGAAATCTACTGAAAATCAAGAGTTTTCAAATTATACTGCCTGTCTAACCGTAAAGTGTCAAACTGGTTGGAAACCTATATCAGCTCGTAAAATAAAATTAAATCCATTTTAAATTATTTCGCACTACTTCGATAAGTATTGCTGTAAGTTATTTAATTTAACTTTTAACTATATGTACAAGTTCTTTTTTCAATACATTGAAAACAATTAGTGGGTACATATCCCGTTAATTGTATATTTTTCGGACTTTTTCAAGTATAATTTCGTACAATGTATTACAAAAATAAATTAATACAACAAAATATACATAGATATATAAAGATTAATAAGACTTATTTCCGTTATACAACGCAGTAGTAATTTAAAAAGAAAACAAGCAGCATCATCTTGCACGATTATTATGATAACAGCGTGTTAAGAGAAATGAACTAAACAATTTCCTTCCAAATTACTTGCCGCTTTTATATAAGTACCTCTTGCATCATAAACGTCGAAGTTCTACAGAAATGAAATTGTTTTGTGCCATTCTTCTGGTATTAGTTATTGCAACTAATAGCAGCTCGCGTAAGTCAATTATTGTGTTTATTCAGTTAAATTTATTTGACATTTTTACAAATATACGCAGTTGGGAATGAAGGGGGTTCGTTCGAACAGGATGAGGATCTTCCAGGACGAGAGGCGTTAAACAACTTCCCAATAATCGATGCGTAAGTAAATCTTTTGAGCACATAATACACAATAGAAATTTATCAAGGAGATAAAAACAATTGGTATATTTGGTTTGAAAATTTTAACTAGATACCCTAAACCTACCAATCATTCATTCAATTAACAAAAGAAATTGGTACTCCTAATTAATATTATTCGTCAGGTTCACGACGAGAGCTATCAAAATTTATTATTCCTTACAAATCGTTGATTAAAGTGTGTTAAATGTTCATTTATCAGGTAAATGCTATATATGTACTTATTTCCAATGTATTACTCAATTCTTATTTTACGTAAACGTGTTTAGATGATAATAAAATAATTTTTATTTATATTTTTTATGGGATGGTTCCCAGTGTTATCCAATTTTAAAGATAAGATAATCTATTTTGGTAAATGCTTTCGCGGTCAATAGGTGAACTAATGCTGTTCTGATACGGGTGTAAAGGCATTCGTCGGTGGGAGTTGCTTTCTAACGTTTCGCTAGCACGAGTGGCGAACTTCTTCAGAGGTCCTACCATCTCAGATGCTGGATATGAACCAATTCTACCCGAATCAGGATAGCATCAGTTCATAACTTATTTTAATTACATAATCCGACAGGCACAACGATTTGGCTTGGAACTTGAGAAGGCTCGTACGTAATCAACTGGACAAATTCGACTTTTCAAAAAATTTAATCGATGATCCATCATGGGGAAAAGTTGCATGTAACACCTGCTTCACTGACCTTCCTAGACTAAGAGCGGGAAAAGTTGGGGGACAAGTAAGACTTAATAAATAATTTTTAACTTTACATAAATTACAAGTCAGAATCAAATTGCTTTCTGTGTTTCATTTATTTCCATAGAGGACATCTTAAGGATTTTTTTATAAACGGATCTGAGAATGTCTTGTGTGAAAATGAAAGAAACAATTTAATTATCTACTTTTTATAAAACACGCGGTTATTTCTGCAAAATTGAAGAAATATTTAATTGTTTATCGAAATAACGTAACACATTCTGATTCGCTAATATGATTTAAGTAGGTACCAATACTTCTAACGTTCCTCCGGGAATTGTTACTTGACTGCACGGAGAATATGAAAAACGAAAATATACCTAAATAGTAAAGCGGTATTTTCAATTTATCCCCCTAGTCCGTTTTTCTTTTTCTTAAAATAAAATCCCATCAGAAATAAATTTACTAGGTATTTTAGTTGATATTACGAATTTATAAATTCAGTCATTTACAATCGAAAATTGTAATTTTTGCGTTGTCATAAAAATTTAGTTTTTTTTGTGTGTTATTAAGTTTGAATTAGTTATAAAGGAAAGTAAAACATTAGAAAATTATATTATTTCAACCAGTAATTAACCACTTATATACAATTCAAGTACATTTTGAGAGTAATTAGACGAATAAAATGAAATATTTATTTTAGGAACAAAAATTGTAGTAAAAGGAATTTAAATTGCCTGTTTCAGTTTGATTTAATGTAATTGCTATGTTGTAATGATTTCTGTTACCTACTTTTTTATTTTTTAAACGATTAGTTTTGGGTTGCTTTTGGAAGCTGCGAGACCCAGTATAAGGAATCTGTTCAGGTGGCTTTAGATCAAATTGACGTTATCAAAAATTTAATTCGTAAATTCAGTAATAATCTGGAATTCGTCGATTCATCAGAAGGTAAGGATAGTGAATGGAATCGTGCATATACTTCTCTATAACTGCTGACAGTTTTGTGATATAATGTAAACGCTGGTCGATGTGCAAAACATTAGACACATTTTATAAATTCATTTATCACTACATAGTATAAAACAAAGTCGCTTTCCCGCGTTCTGTCCCAATGTATGCTTAAATCTTTAAAACTACGCAACGGATTTTGATGCGGTTTTGTTTAAAGATAGATTGATTCAAGAGGAAGGTTTAAATGAATAATACATGCATAATATAGTAGGGAAACACTGATAATTTTAGAGGTTTCTAATGTGATGTAAATAAACACACTTTTTGCGCTTACATTGCAAACGCTGCCTAAACCCTACGAGATAGATCAAAATAATGTACTACAATATTGTACATCTTAAAAGGGTC